TAATGCATCGAACGATCCGATCGGCGCCCGAGAAGTCGCATTTGGCATAGCCGTCGACGCCCACCAGCAACGCCTCTAAACTTATGACTGTTTTTGGTGTAGTGTAGGCCTGACCCGATCCCCCATCCTCAGACAAACCATTACACTCATCAACAACAAACGAGCGAACCTCGGTCTCTCCCCAAGAAACTCGAGTCCTGCTTCGCTCGGCGGAAGCGGCGGCCGCGCTGGGCATGATGCACGTCCCTGGCGGCTCGCAAACGTCTTGAAAAATCGGACTGCCAACGCTGACCGTGGACAAGCATAGGTCCCAGCCTGTCACGGAGCTCGCGTCCGAATCGGTGTTGTCTCCCCCCCCCGCCCAAGCTCACCCACGCAGTCCCACCCACCCATATCGCTATCGGCAGATGCGTCAGACGCGCACGGCGAGCATATGATCCAACCTTGCTGCTCCGCAGCTGGGCTCCCAGCACGCAGCTGCACGAAGCTCGTGTCGGATGCATCTGCATAGAGGTCGTCATCCGTATCAAATTCATGCACGCCTGAAGCCCCGGCGTGCCCAGCCATGTATCCAAATGACATGCTGGAGTCGAGTGAAACGTTATCGTCCGTCATCTGAGTGCCTACTGCCTCTGCAACAGGCGGCGTCTGTTCTGCCGAGCTGTCTGCTCCAGCTGACGGTTGAAAGTTGTGCACATCGTTAAAGGCATGCTGCAGTTGCCTGGGCGTGAGCGGATCCTCATAATGCAAAAAGGACTCCCAGAACAGATTCGCTCGCGTCCTGGCTGCATCCCTCTCGGCAGTGGTTAAAAGCGACACGCCCGACGCCTCGGCTTGCCACTGATCCCGCGTCAGCTGCAGCGCGGCAAGGGCATGTGCAATGTGCTCGTGCCACTCATCAGCGTGCGTGCTATCTACTGGCCTACGCCGCAGACGGTTCAACCTGTTAGTGTACGCATCACGATCATGCTGTGCCAACGCCCAAGCACGGTCACATATATCGCGAGCTGCTAGCGCACATGCCTGTGCTGTCATGGCAAGCGGCGCAAAGATGGCACTGGTACGAATTTGCCACGAGACCCAGGCAACGCACTCCTCCATCCAACTATCGAACGCTGCATCAATGCCCTGCAAGTGGGCCATGGTCGACCACGGTCGGCTCTGGCCTGCAAGTGATCTGGCTAGCACGCTGGCCGCGTGCTCGGCGGCACCCATACCCAGGTGCGCTCTACAAAATTTACTTGTTGCAAAAAAGGTCGGGAGGATATTCCCGCAGCAAGCCAGGCGGAGAGGAGCCAGCTGTGGCTCCTCCTCATTGCCTGCCAACAGGGGCGCCACGGGCACGCCTGCCCAGTCAGTAGTGAACGATACCCTCGAGGCTGCCGACGGTGCTGCAACTTCCCTGCGTGCATCGTCATCTGGCCCGAGTCTGATCGAACTCACGCGCCTCCGTCTGCTGGAGTCGCTGCTGCCGCCGCGGCTGCGGTGCGCGCCTCGGGCACCGAGGCCGCCCCTGCTCTCTTCTCCTTCCTCGGCGGAGAAGCCGTCGTTTTGTCCACCTCGATCATCGTCTTGTCCGCCTTCCCATCGATCCTGCGCACCTCCGCCTGGACTGGCGACTCGCACTCGTGCGTGACGCTCTCCGTCGGCGCTGGCAAGTAGGGATCGTCGAGCTGAGACGCCGTGGTCATTGGGGCCCACGGCTGCGTCGGCTGTGAGCATTGCGGTCTGTGTATCACTGGTGTCGGCTGGCTGCTCTTCCCCTCGGCGTCGCCTGGCTCCACTGGCGATGTGGGCGAGCAGCTCATCCTTCCACTCTTGGACGGCGCCTTCGGTGACGCCATTGCTGGCTTGGGCTGGCCCATGGGCGTCCCTGGCGCGGCAGTCGCACCTGCTGGCGTAGGCGGCGACCGCTGCGCTGGCGGCGGCGTCGTCTGTACGGGCGTAGGCATCCCCCCAATCGGTGTCCTCGGTACCGCTGCCGCTGGCGTTGCTGGCGATCTCTGCGCAGGCGGCGGTGTTGATTCCACTTCCATGGGCTCCGTCTCTGCGGCTGCGGCTTGCACTGGCGGCTGCGGCGGGAACGCGGGCGGCGGCATATGCGGCGCCGCTGCCGCGGCCCCTGGCATGGCCTGGGGCGCCGTCCCACCGCTGGCGCCAGGCGCTGCCACACCCGGCGCCGCCGCGGTAAACCCCATCGCCGACATGACCATGCCCACCCGCCTGTCTTGCTGCTCCATGCGCATCATCATCTGCTGCATCATCACCTCGATTGGAGACAACTGCTGCGGCGGCTGGAATCCTGGAGGCGGTGGCGGTGGGATGTGCGACGGCGCTGCACCTGGCGCCATACCCGCTGGCGCACCAAAGCGCCCAGGCGGCTGCTGCGGCCCTTGCCCATGCTGGGCGGCCGCGGCGGCCTGCATCTCCACCTCCTCTTCCTGCCGCTGCACCTCCAACTCTGCCAGGTAGTCGTCCAGCTTGTTCACTTCGTCGCACAGCTCCTCTTCCTGCGTCTGATATGTGGCGATGCGGGCTCGGGTATTGCTTAACTTGTCCATCGTGGCCTTCTTCTTGGCTCTCATGGCTTCGATCTGCTGCCATGTCGGTTGCGTCGAACCCATCATACACTTGAGCACGCTGAGTTTCTCGTCGAGCTTGGTCGCCTCCCCCTCGTCCGCTGCCCTTCTCGCTGCCATTGCCATCTTCGCATACTCCACCATTCGGCTGCGGGTCGCATCCTGAAACTGCTTCTGCGCCATGGGCTCCGCTGGCGGCTCGTAGTAGAGCTGGCCGAAGTCTACGGCCTCGGCCTTTGTCATCGGGACGATCCTGGAGATGTACATTTTCACCTGCTTGTCCACTGGCTGTGGCTTCGGCTTGCGGCTGGCACTGCGGTCCCTTCGATCCCGTCTGTCGCGCTCTGCTCGTACATCTGCTGCCACCTGATCCCTTTGTGCATACTGGCGTTGCCCACGGGCGATCGATGCTGACGGCGGCCGAGCTGTCTCCCCTTGGCGCAGACGGTTGTGATAATGACCTCCGCACAAACAGCGCTGGTGGTTCTTGACGTACCGCCCGCATGGGCAGTTCCAATGTCCGAAGTTCGTCATGGCCGAATGGTGCTGCTGGAGCACCTCTGTCGCTCGGAGCACTGCCAACAGGACTCGTGCTCTCGTTCGTCGTCTTCTCAACCTCTTGTGCCAGGATGGCTCCTTGGCTGAAGCAAACTGAGATTGTGTAGACTTGTGAGAAGTAATCTTCGCCGTAATCGCGCGCGCCCCAGTCACCAGCAAAGCAGCTGACACTGGCCAGGGGCGCGGCGCCTAAGCCCCGAGCTCGCAGGCACTTCGGATGCCTGAGCCCGGTATGGCTTTCCTCCTCCTCCTCCTCCTGCTCCTCGTCCCCCTCCTCCTCCTCCTCCTCCTCCTCCTCCTCCTCCTCCTCCTCCTCCTCCTCCTCCTGCTCCTCCTCCTCCTCCTCCTCCTCCTCCCTCTCCCCCCGTGAGCTGCGCCCAGCTTCGGGCCACGAGACCATCACAGATCGACCTGGCCCGAGAAATACCGCAGTAAGGTGGGGTCCAGGGCTCGTGTCGTTTTTTTTTCTGGCTGTGATGCTGCAATTGTGTCCCAACGTCGGATCTCGGGGTGTCAGCCATCAAAGGCTGCTAGAGTCCCCACCCTGCCAAGTCGATCAGCGGATCGCCGTTTGTTCTGGCTCTCGAATGGGCGTTGCGGCGGCAGATTTGCAGGCTTGTGCCCTTCGGATCGATGTCACTGGAGGCTGCTTTGCTAAAGGGCGTCGTCGAGATCACGAGCCCGACCTCCAGCTCTGCTTTCTGGTCTGAGAGTTCTCTGGCCGCTCCGCGGCCGCTTCCGCCTCCCTATCAGAGAAACTATGGATTCAGTTTGTGTCGGGGTTTCGGTTTTCTGCTATGCCTGGCGGCCCATAGGGGCCAGACGGATCGCGAGGAGGCGGAGGAGAAGGAGGAGGAGGAGGAGGAGGAGGAGGAGGAGGAGGGAGGAGGAGGAGGAGGAGGAGGGAGGAGGAGGGAGGAGAGAGGAGGAGGAGGAGGAGGAGGGAGGAGGAGGAGGGAGGAGGAGGAGGGGAGGAGGAGGGAGGGAGGAGGGAGGAGGAGGGAGGAGAGGGAGGAGGAGGAGGAGGAGGAGGGGAGGAGGAGGAGGAGAGGAGAGGGGAAGGAAGATGTCTGCCCCTCCTCCTGTGCTTTTGCCGTACTCTGCTGGGGCGCGCCGCCGTTTGCGCTCGACCGCTCGTGGGACAACTCGCCGCGGACCAAACAGTGGTGTACTAGACGGGGTTCCGTCGGGGGGAGGAGGAGGAGATGAGGAGGAGGAGGGAGGAGGAGGAGGGAGGGGGAGGAGAGGAGGAGGAGGAGGAGGAGGAGGAGGAGGCGGAGGAGGAGGAGGAGGAGGAGGAGGAGGAGGAGGAGGAGGAGGGAGGAGGAGGAGGAGGAGGAGGAGCAGGAGGATGAGGAGGAGCAGGAGCGTGGGCAGACCCGAAGCCAGCACACGTCTAAGCCTGCAGTGGTCGAGGCCTGGCAGCCGGGGCCCCCGCTTCCGCACCGCCCGGCCGGCAGCCCCAGAACATCGAGATTGTTTTGTTTTGATGTTTATTGTTTTTTCTGTCTCTCTCTCCCTCTCTCTCTCTCTTTTTTTTGTTTTTTTTTTGTTCTCTCTCTCTCTCGAGAGAGAGAGAGAGCGAGTCTCCGCTCTGGAGGCAGAAGCGCTTCCAGAATGGAGGAAGGAGGCCTCCAGAAGGGATGTCGAGCATTCGTTTTGAAGGTCGTTGGTCCTCTGGGGCCCACCCGTCGTCGTTGCTCTGGATGGTTCCTCGGTGCGGCACGAGGCCAAGCCACTGCCAGACGCATCGCGTGGCATGCCTCGCGCGCCCCCTTTGTCAGAACAGCATACAGGCGGCATCTTGCCACTCCAACCGAGCAGTGCGCTCTAATCCGATGGGAATTGCGGTCATCTGAGCAGGCCGTTACTACATCTGCGGCAAGGTTGACATGCGGGAGCGGATGCAGATTCTGAGCAACTTCGCGGATTGCCGTCCGCTTGTTTCTTGGATTATGGATTTGCGCTTCGGTGGACCCGTTGCTTGCAATGTGTCGCGGGCTCGGACATGCGCGTTGAACGGACAATTTAGAGCAGCCGTGAGGGTAGCTGTCATGCTGGCGCCCACAGCACTGGCCTGCGGTAACAGCACCAGCAACAGCAGGAGTGAAGAGGGTGAGAAATACAACGACAGCTGTTGGATGAGGGACAGTGGCAGTGGTTGAAATCTTTGAGCTTGGCACTGTTTGACGAACGTATATCGTGGAGTGGCTAAGAATTGTCATATCATGCGCGGAAAGGTCGGCAGGAAGTAGTGGGAGCATAGTGCGACGTTTGGGTTGAATTTGTTGTGGGGCATATAGCGCGTGGTCTGAATTAAAGCGTAGGGGGGCCAGTGCTAGTTGTTTTGACATGTATTGCATGCAGGTTGTGGATCGTAGGAGGAGCAAGTTCGGCCATATGTAACTCCTTGATTGTTGATCCACAGTGGAAAAGGACAGTGCGACTTGTAACACCATCTTCTTGTCCAAGGTGGATATGTTCCAAACGTCGAGCTCATTGTTGCTTCATTGCCTTATGTCTTTCCTGGTGTTCGCATCATTACTTGTACCTCTGAGTCGGTTGCCTTCTTGATCTGCCTCTGCCTTTACCAAAAAAAGCCTCGGCGTAGAGAGCGCGCACGCTTGTACACCTATCGACTTCCAGGATAAATGCAAAGGGTTGTTGACTATCCGTGCAGCTCGCAGTGATCGATTTCTGGTGGCAATAATATCCTGTTATCTTGTGGCTGTGTTGGTGATGTCTGGTGCACCCGCAGGCCGCGATCGTTTTTCCTACCTGTTTTGGTTACTCAAGGTGCCTTGGTGGCTCGAAGCGGTAGTTTGTGTAGGCGTGGCGTCGCAGGAATTACCAGAAAGTTGTATACGTCTGACGTGGGCAGCCAGGACGAGAGCTGTGTACAAATGTGGCCACATGCCTTTCCAGTGCTCGGCCCTTGTGTTGCCAGATAGGCCGGCGCATGACCACCGCCGGTTTCGCATGTGAATCCATCCGCGTGCGTTTTCAGTTTCTTTGTAGTCGCATAGATTGGAGATAAGGGGTATGATAGCCTCTGTGAGGCAGCTCCCATGCAGACATCGTTGGTGTGGCATGTTGTGCATGACGTTCTTGCATAGTCTTGCGCGGGTGTCTATGGCTGCCAGCTCGTTCTCGAACAGACGTCTTCCTGCTGCAGCGTGCTTGCGGCGGGCTTGGCGTCTCGGTCTGTACCAGTGTCGTGGTCTGGCTATTGCTTTGAGTTCGCCAGTTTCTGGTAGATGGTCGTTTGCTTTGGCCCAGCTTTCAGACTCGGGTTGCAGCTGTGTCCCAATCTCATGGTATCGCAGTTGTGTGGTTTCGTGGACTCTGATCGCTTTCAGCTTGGCTTTAAGCTTGCCTCAACTCTGTAAGTCTGCAACTGTTGCGATGGCTTTGCTTTCAGGCGTAGGCTTCGTGTTGCTATGGTGTTGGCTCGTTTGTTCATTCCTCTATAAGCCCTTGTCGTTTAAGATTTAGCGCAGCTTAGTTTGGGCGTTGGCTCGGCTGGCAGCTTCAGCATCAGTCGCAGCACGAGCCTCTGCGCATTGCCGCGTGCCGATCTTGATTTTTGGCTTCCGCTCGAGCTTCGTGGTGTCGTGGATTTGGCCTAGCCCTCGCCTTACGGGTGGGACATCTTGCTTAGCGTGTCTCAGGAGGGGAAAAAACACACATACACAACGAGTCATCGATTCCCCCGAAAATATGGGAAAATATGGGAAGTGTGTGTGGGGAAGACAAAAACCCAGAAAATAGGGAAACATGTGGGGAATCCTGTTATTTGTGTGTATTTATTTCCGTGTCCCAGGGCCCCTTCAGTGTCGAAGCGAACCCCACCCTCCCCCTCGGGAATCGTGGGGGGCAGGGGTAGGGTTCGCATAATTATGGCCCCCTAAGAATTTCTTGACCGAGGCATCTTTAGGCTCGGCGGTGATTGCCGCGTCGCTGCTGCTGCCGCTGCGCCCGTCGGTGTCTCGGCCCACTGGGCAGGGTCGCGAGAAGGAGTGGTCGCGCCTCGCACCCTGGGCTGGAGAGGTGTCCCCTTCCCTGGCGGCGCGGGGTCGGGGGGACAGCCGCGAGCCGCTGCCGCTGCGCCCGTCGGTGTCTCGGCCCACTGGCAGGGTCGCGAGAAGGAGCGGTCGCGCCTCGCACCCTGGGCTGGAGAGGTGTCGCCTTCCCTGGCGGCGCGGGGTCGGGGGGACAGCCGCGAGCCGCAGGGCTGTCCCTTCCCAGGTGGGGCGCTCCGGAAAGGGCCTCGCCTTCGAGAGGGTCGACGGAGTTGGCATCGTTTTCTTCTGCAGAAGGCGGTGGCATTCAGAGGAGGAACATATGCCGATACAGCTGCTCGTCCTGGAGACCCTTCGTCGCCTCAGCTGGATTCGCCTTGCAATCTTGGTCAGAGAGCATCTCTGCAGAGGCCTGGGGAGTAGCAGCACCGGTGTTTTCGAACGAAACGCCCATCGGCAACGTTCAAGGGGCAGCGCAAGCTCGCCCCCCACGGCCCCAATTTCAATGTTCATCCTGTCGCGCACGAAGCGTTTTGCAAAAGTGGGCATTTCTTTCGAAACGATTCGCACTCCCCCGCGTCGAACGCCCCCAACTTTGAAGTTGGGGCCCGGGGTTGGACGCGCTTCCACGAGAAATGCGGATGGGCGTTTTTTTCCCGGAAAGGGCTTTGGCCCAGGGTTCTCTTTTAGTATGTAAACATATCCCCCCGTGCCCAACTTGAAGGAGGCCGGCGGATTCTTTCCCTGATAAATATCGAGGTCGAAGGAGGCCGGCGGATTAAAATTTGAGAGAGAGCGTGATCCACCGCCGCTTTACTGTGGAAAATTGCCAACCTTTTCCTCTGGAACCCGGGGGTCCCCCCCCCCCCCCTTCGAAAATCCCCCCCCCCCTGCTGGAACCCCTCCCCCCCCCCTCTCCCCCGGCAAAACCCCCCCCCTCCCCAAACCCCCCCCGCCCCCCCCTCCCGCTCGAAA